GGTGTCAAATATATAAGCCTTGATATTGGGTCTTTTATTGTTCAAAATGCAAACCCGACTTACATTTTATATTTTCATATTCGATACTCATCAGCTGAATAATAATTATGGTTATAGAAAATCTAACAGCTGGGCCCTACCTTAGCTTACCAGGATGGACTCAGAAACTTGGAAAATGGCTAAAATTGTTTTTGCTCTTCAAATAATGACACCATAAAAGACTGTTTGGGATATACATCTTGCCGATAAAACCAGGCTCAAAATACAGATGTTTTTGCCGACTACACTCTACGAAATTGTATAGAAGCAGGCATATCTTTCCCATTATCCCCGTGGACTGGAATGTCAGCGGTCACAACAATAAACTACTTGAATTATTGTAATGCTTGTGTGGCGTTTCATGGCAATCTACACCAGGCAGTGCACAACCCTCCCCCCGACAGTTAAGTTTTCATTAAAGGCCTAGATCATGTACCATCCCAGACAGAAGGGAAGAAACGATGAACGGTATCCCTTAGATAAAGGGAGAAGACCTGAGGCAAAACTAGAGAAGAAACAAGTCACAGAATTTGAATTTCTGAAAGTCTTGTACAAGAAAATTCTACACCCTTATTTGTATGACTGCCGTGAAGAAATGGTAGCGATTTTAAACCAAATCCTGGGGCTCTCGTGGCCTAAAGGTTAAGCTGTTCGCCTCTCATTCAAAGGTCCCGGGTTCGAATCCGGGTAGCGATGGAAACATTTTCTTCTCTAAAAATAATTGTCTGCTTTCACCTCCTTTCCTGCTCTCCAGCAATGTTCTATCGTCTGCTTTCGTCTCCACTTTCTGCCCCTACCCTCTCACCTCCTTTGCTCCCTCATCTGGGCTCCTGGCTGTTTCTGCTCCTTTTTACTGATGTCTTTCATCCACAACCCTGATCTTCTGGTAGGAAAGATCTAGGCCGTACACCTAGCCTTCTCGGACAAGGGCGAAAAATCTCGGATGGCCCGTGTGCAAGTTGCGCGCGTTAAAGATCTCTCGGTGGTCTAAAATAGATATGAGTAGGCTTCGGCCGCCACCCGGGCAAAATAAAAAATTCCCTTCGAACTGAGAACGTTTAATGTGTCCCGCGCGCTCATATATGAGCGTGTACAGTTGCGAGCGTCGTAAAACACTTACTAACA